AAGAAAAATCTTTTGTTTCTTGCCATACAAAGTGACATGCCTAAATATTTTGACCATGCGGTGGCCTAAACGAGGACTTCTAGGAAAACACTTAGTAATGGTCATATTGATAAACCATACAAACCAACCAAGGATACGTTGGTTCTCGTGGAAGGAGTTTGGTTCTCTTTAAATAAGATCTTGTGAATAGAGAAACAAGCATTGGAAGAGCTCCCCCTTAAATGAGATCTCACATGATTTAATTCCGAATTAATTGAGATTCAATATGATTATCGGATACCGAGAAGTTAGTATAAAAAAAAAAAACTATACAATCCAACTAAAATAAACTGTAAAATTATTAAGTTTTATTTTTAATACTGAAAAAAATATTATTCGTATTCTGAACGACAAGGACCTTGACTTACAACTTAACGTAAATAACAAAGGCAAAGACCTTGACTTACAACTTGGATTTTGGTCTTTGACTTGTATCATGGAAATGGACAAGAGACCTTAAACATTTACTTTATCTTTTATGGAGATGACCACCACTCAGGATTCAAATAATATGAAAATTAAAAATTATGTAAGAATCGAAAATTTTAGACGCATCATCTATTTGAATAATGGTAAAGTGAATCATCATCATCATAATCATCATCATTATTATTTGAATATTAGAGAATCTAAAAGATAATAGATATTTTTTTAAGGTGTTGATGATAAAATGAATCATTATTAATAGACAAGAGATTCAAAATCTGAAAATAAAGTTCAATATAAAGAGTAGTTTGCACTCCACAAATTCCATAAATACTACGATAGTACACTTTAATATCAAGGAATAGTTTGCACTCCACAAATTCCGTAAATACCACGATAGCATATTTTAAAATCAAGGAATAAATTGACAAGCAAGCAAACAAGTAAACTATTTTGTGAAAGTGTTTAATAGTTTTCAAATTTTATGTTTTTAGTATTTTTTTTCTCTTTTTAATTTTTTTTTCTCTTTTTATTTTATTTTATTAGAGAGAGACGGATATGTTTTACAGGACTTAAACCAACCAACAAACAAAATAACAATTAGCTAAAAATGGTCGGAAGTTATTTAAATTTAAATCCAAGGACCATCAGACAAAAGACAAAATGCAAATAAATAGTAAAGTACCAGAAAATAAGTGTTGATTTTTACCAAAAGCAACAACATGTGAAATGCAAGGATATTATATATTCGGGTGTAGCTATC